ACATAGCCAATCAGCGACCGGGGGGCGTGGTCGGGATGGCCAGGTAGCTAATCCGGCTAGGAGGGCGGAGCGTTTTCGGGACGACGTGTCAATGTGGGCTGAGTGACCAGTCACGTGGTGAGCTCTGGTCCGTGAAACGGATATGTGTTGCGAAAGGTGGGCAAAAGAATCAGACTGTCCGGGAAGGCAAAGCGAAAGCTGGGTGAATAGAGGCACCGGCAGAACAAGGACTGGTGGCTAAGGAGGAAAGGCAGGACGAAGTCTAGGGGGTGGGAGAGGAAGCGAGCGCAAAGACAGAGCTGTAGATAAGTGCTAACAGTCCATTGCCCGTCTTGGGTCCTACGTGCCTGCGAGATCCCCTTGTGGTCGAGCAGGACCTAGAGTGGGCGACCCCTTCCTTTTAGAAGCCATGGTGAGTGGGGGTCTAGAAGTAGGGGAGAAAGGAATGGGGTACCAAGACGAGCCTGAGCTACTGCAGGAAGTCCAGCCAAAAATTCTGGATCCAGAGACACCCAATGGAGCTGTCCTAGGATCAGACCCAGAGGTGCGCCTGACTTGGCGCCGCTGGGTAATTGTATTCCTCTTTAGCTCCTATTCCTTCTGCAATTCCTTCCAGTGGATTCAGTATGGCAGCATCAATCTCATCTTTGCTTATTTTTATGACGTGTCTCCTTTTGCTATTGACTGGCTCTCAATGTGCTACATGCTCATCTACATCCCCTTCCTTTTCCCTGTCGCATGGCTCCTTGACAAGAAGGGTCTGCGCCTCATTGCCTTGGCTGGCTCGGCTCTTAACTGCCTGGGGGCCTGGGTGAAGGTAGGCAGTATGCAGCCCCACCTCTTCCCAGTCACTGTTGTGGGCCAAGTCATCTGCTCTTTGGCCCAAGTTTTCATCCTGGGCATGCCCTCCCGCATTGCTTCTGTCTGGTTTGGATCCCGTGAGGTCTCCAGTGCATGTTCGATTGCTGTCTTTGGCAACCAGGTAGGTAGCAGAATACTTAGATAAAGAATGTCTGTTCTGATTTATAGATTAGGATAGATACAAAAGAGCTCGGACTAAGAGGGAATTGTAAGTATTGTGGGGGGCAGGATAACTGCATGGTCTCCAGAAAAGCAAAAAATCAGCAGTGTGAGCAATTTAGTAAGAAAACACCAAGGTGGTAGTAATCTCACAGTAATACAAAGCCCTGATATGGTAGAAGAGTGATGTTTGTGGAGTGGGCACAACAGAAACATTGGAGCGCACCTAGGGATTGGCACCATGCTAGGGAAACAACACACTTGGAACCTGTTAGTTGGTAATGTGCTCCGGAAATGGGGTGTATGTTTAAAAAAGAATGGCCATCTGTGCAGATGCCTCTGTACATTTATAGGATAAAGGGTATCTTTTTACCTGCAATGTGCGGTGTTTTGCATGTGAGGGAGAGGACGAAAAGGAACAGGGAAAGTGATTCAGGGAGATGGGTGTGATATTATTAAATTTAGGATGAAGGGATGAGGGCTGTGGAGAAGAAATAAGGCCATGGAGCAAAAGGGGCAAAAGGAAGTTTTAAGGTGCAGAATACACACTAACTGCAACTCTGGTATGGAAAGGCTGTATACATACTGTTATGGAAGCTTTCTGTATTTTGTAAGATCTCTTGTTCCTGAACTTGCGCTAGTTTGAAAAGTTTTGTTTAAATGTGGATATTATTTTGGCTTCATGCTCAGGAGTGGGTGAAGTATTGGGTTAGGCGTATTGTACACTTACTTTGTTCTTTCATCTTACTGTGCTTTGGGAGGTGAAGGAAGTAACTGGATTCTGAAGCCAATAGGCTCAAAGCAGGTATGTTGGGTTATAGTTTGTGCTACTTTTCTGGCTGTCCTACTCAGTGACACAAACACTGAATAAAGTTGTATATGTTCTCTATGCAGCCAAATCATTGTCATGATCTTGACAGGGTGTCTGAACTCTGTATTTCTGCTCTGAGGTCAGCATCCCTATCAGAGAAAGCAGCAGTGATAGCTTGCTGGGCAGGGGAAATATACGTGTACATCAAAGTACAATTGCCATGGTTCATTGTTTACACAGGTAGCGAAAGCGTTTCATGGATTCTGTTCCACTTTTAGGTACTCCCTGAACTCTGTTGTACTGGATTAAAAGGAATTCCCACACAAATTTGACACTAACATCTGTGAGGCTTGTTTTTATGCAAGTATGGCAGTGTCTATTAGGTAGTGAAAGACACAATAATCTATAACTTGTCTTTGGAGCAAAGGTTCTTTGCCGTGGATGGCCAGGGTGGAGGTTATAATAACATTCTAGGAAACCTTGTGTGTGAAAAACGTCACTGTGAAAGTTGGGATTTCACCCCCACCTTACCAAACATGCTGCTTTCCAGCTATTGCACTAGACTATCTAGCTGCTCTGTACTGGGCATTTGTTGCTGTTGTTGTTATTATTATTTTCCTTCTTAGCATCAGCATTTTGCAGAGATTTCTGAGCTGATGGTTGTGGACTGAAATAAAATCTATTTTTTTGTCCTGCTCATAGTTCTTCAGAGCTTTCAGGGAATGCTCAGTGATCAGACTTTCCCGAACATAAGTGTGGGGTTGCTGTAGCTGAGCGGCTTGCAGTTGCTTATTTCTGAAATATACAGCTTAGTGTCAGTATTCTGAAATATAGAGCTCAGTGTGTAGGCGTGTAGTGCTGTTGTTGTCAAATGAGAATGTAATTTTAGTTTCAGGGCTTTTCTCAGGTCCTGACTTTTCAGGTGTTGAATGCGCAATGATGACTGTAGCAAATCGAAGTACCAAGGTCCCGGTCACACAAGCAGGATGATCCTCTGCCGAAGAGAGGCAAATTAGAGCGGAGCAAAAAGAACCATGGGAGCGCGATCCGACATGCCCCCGCGGCTCCGTGCTCCCTGCTCTGGCAGCCGATCACACTGTTGTGCAGCAAACCGGTAGTAGCGTGGTTGTGCGTATGCGTGGGATGGAGAACGGTGCTGGCTGTGACAGGCTACCAGCGCTTCCCCGACCAGACGCCTTCCATTGCCGTGCATCATCTGGAAGGTAGTGCTCTGTTGCTACTACCTTTTTGATGCACGTTTGTGGGCTGAAGGGACAGATTGGGGACAGGTGTGCGCCGCTTCCCAGATGTTGCGGTGTGATCGCGTCCGCTTGATGCGCCCCCGATCCGTCCCTCTTGTGGGGCAAATCCTCCTGTGTGACCGGGGCCCAAGAAGAGCAAACACTTGCTGAATGAAGGCAACTGTAAAGACCATGAGGCTCTGAACACTGGAGGGAAGTCAAGTGCAGTGCTCTCATGAAGTGAAATTGGTTACTTGTACCTAAGAAAGAGCTATTGTAAGAGCCATTGGTGTATATTAAGTGGCTTTTCCTAGAAAAAAGGTACATAACTGCAAGATTCACTGAAGGTGATTTGGAAGTTGCATCCGGCTGACGAGTTCCTCCATCGAATTTGTTTCTAGGTAGAGCTGAAAATTTTCCAGAAATTTTGGAGCCATGGAAAAGATTTTCTCATAGATGGTGGGGGACTGATCTTTTGAGAAAAATTGAAATTTTGGAAAGTTTCTTAAAACAAAGAAATTGTTTACAGCCATGTTGGTAAAAAAGTAAAATAACCCCCCAACCCCCCAAATCCATGTAATAATAATATTATTATTAAAAGGTATTACTTGTGTACCATGTAAAAGGCTGATCTCTTTCCCCCCCTCAGTAGATGCCAAAAACAATGGTGGGAAGTTCTACCTGAGTTGATCCTACAGCTGTGGATGGATCCTACAGCTGTGTGGATGGATAGACCAATGCATATGGGGAGCATGTGGTCTGTGGGAACTGTATGTGTGACATGAGCATCTCTATATGGTGACCATTTTGGGAGTGAGGTGTGCTTGGAGTCTCTTGCTGTAAGACCTGACCTCATTAGATGAAGAATTTTCATTTTCAGGCTTCACTGTTAAGCATTCTCAATGGATGCTAGAAAGATATTTGCAAACACTTATTCTAAAGGCAGGTCAAATAGCTTATTTGCCCAGTATTGGCTATTTCCCACTTTTGCTTCTTAATTTGTTTAAATAGGGATTAAGTCCAAGAGCATGCTTCCTTGAAACTTGTTTGATATTGTGTTGCAAAGGGGATCCTTGGGAGTCTTTCGATCCCTCACACCCTCGAGTTAAGTATCTCAACCTTAAGGGCCAGAATGCAATACCTGGACATGAAATGAAAGGGAATAGGTTACTGGGTTACCCTTAATGGGTACTGGATGGCAATTGGAAGGCTTAAGTGGACTTTACTTAAGTGAGAGCAGTAAGTATTTCTTAGGTAATAAAAGTCTGGGCAGCGTCCCTTTAATGAAAGCTTTGATGTGGTTGGTGCCATACTGTGGGCATGTTTCTGCTGAGCATCATCAGAGCACCAATGTTACAGCAGATCTGTATTTACAGTTCTTCCCTCCAGCTGAGTTGTCAGTATGTGGGTAGAACATTTCATCTGATATTATAGTTCTCTGGCTTGTATGAGTTCCTGGCTAGTTTATTTCAGGTTAGTTTTTATGACCCAGCATGTATATCTTGAATTAGAGGGTTGCCTCAAATGATTTTTTTGCATCGCTTCTAAGTAGATGCAGAGTGGTGTTTTGGTCAGAGTGGTACCCTAAGAACTGGGAGGTCCTGGTTCAAATCCCTGCTCTGCCATGAAGCTCAGTGAGTGACTTGGGGCCTGTCAGTCTTCTTCAGTCTAACTTAATGTATGAGATTGTTGTAAGGACAATGGTGGAACAGTGTACGCGACCCCAAGCTTCTTGGAGAAAGGAAAGGATAAAAAATGGATGCAAAATCTTTCACTGAAGGAAGAAACCAGCAAAGGTCTACAGTAGATACAAAACTTTTTTTTTCTTTGTTAGAGAGCCAGCATGGTCTAGAGGTTAGTACATCAGACTGTGATATGAGAGAACTGAGTTCAAATCCCCACTCTGCTGTGGAACTTCTCTGGGCAACCTTGGGCTTATCTATCTCTGTCTCTCTTAGCCTAACCTACTTCAGAGGGTTGTTTATTATGAGGATAAATGGAGGAGAGGAGATCAATATTGAAAGCTTCTTTGGGTTTCCCTTAGGGAGAAAAGTGGGGTATAAATATCTAAATGAATAAACATCATGTGTTTTGATATGTGGCTGTGCACTGTACTAATGAAAATGTGCCTACATATGAATGTATGATGTCACTTGGGCACATTAGCCAGGCTATTTTCAGGAGTGGAATACGGGGATCGTGATCACCCCCAGTGGTGAAAGATCTGCATTGGCTGCCCATTTGTTTTGGGGCACAATTAAAAGTGCTGGTTCTTACCTTTAAGGGCCTAAATAGCTTGGGCCAGGGTACTTGAAGGACCACCTCCTGCTATATTGTCCAGCTTTCCAGTTAAGATCTGCCTCACAACTCCTGCTCTTTGCCCCCCATCCCTTTAGAGGCAAGGCAGGTGGAACCAGAGACTGGGCTTTTTCAGTTGTCTCACTTCACTTGTGGAATGCCATTGGCCTGGTGCCTATATTGATTTCTTTTCAGCACCAGGCCGAAATGTTTATTCACCCAGGCTTTTAATTAAGGGGTTGATTTTTTAAAATACTGTAGTAGCCTAGAAACGTTTGTTCTAAGCTTTCTGTGGTCTGTTCTTATTATCTGTGTTCCTGTGCTGGGCTGGGACTTTTAAATGCTGGATTTTAATTCATATCTTTTAATTTTTTGGTTATTTTTTATTTTGTGAGCTGCCTTGGGTAGGTTCCTGAAGAGTTGGCATATATATATAAACTAATAGACCTAGATGTGTATTTGGATCTGCCTTAGGGTAGGGCTAGCTTGACTGAACTGAGCTGGGATGAGGGTTGGGCAGTAGTATTTTCCAAGAAAGAATAGTGGGCCTAGTCACAAAGGGAGATTATATGGATAACACAACCAAGGGTTGCCACTGACAAGTTGCGGGGA